CAAAAAAAATCCCTATAGTCTAGACACACCCTGAGAGAAATCTGTTTCTGACCCAAAAAAGGAAGTGCCGAAAATCACACAATATGGCTTTCCCCTTGAGATTTACAGTGCAATTGACTGTAGATCTCACAAGGAAGTCTAGTCTTGCAAAAATGTTTGTTTAGCTCTCCAACCCCTCCATTTTCCACATAAATATCTGAAGTTCTGATTGCAGAGCCAAACCTACAAAGTACTCCACATCTTCTGGGGCTCATTCATCATCTGTCAGTCTACAGGTTTGACAGAGATTGCACATTCATCTTTAGCAAAGGAGAGCTGTTATAATTGCTTATGCCTGGCTAACACAAATATACTCCATCTGCTGATTTTTCTTGTCTTTTCTTGCTTGGGGGAAGTGTTTGCTGCTTTCCAGAAATGCCATGTCACCTGATTTGTAATAGGGCCCAACAGTTTAGAGTTTGTTGAGCAGAGTTAATATCAGTTGATTAATTAGTGCATATTGCTAATTCAATAGTAGAAAAAAAACTATTTAAAATTAAATCCATAAACAAACAAAGCACCAGCAGGCCATTTGCATCCTCAGAGACTGACTGTGGTTGGAGGGTGACAGTCTATTTTTGATTAAGTGGCCAGCATTTTGACTGCAGGTTATAGACAATAGCTGCTTACATTTCAGGATAGTAACTTACAATTTGATAGAGTACTGCCCTGTTTCAGATTATGTAACCACACACATCCAGACGTGTGTGTATAATACAGACCAATGATGCCATATAATGCCATTTATAATGCCCAATTGAAGTGAGTTGAAAGATTCCCCCTTACCTACGTGGCTTTATGTTTTGACCCATACTTTGAATATTTAGAGCTGGTTTGCTGTACAGTCCAACCTGCTTTCCAACCCAAACCTCCCTAGCTGCAATTTAAGCCCATTGCTTCTTGTTCTAGCATCACGCATTAAGGAGAATAATTTTTCCCCTTCCTCCTTATAATGCCCAATCAGGTACATGTCAGAAGGTTCAGCAACATCCATGGTCCAGCATGGATGCTGCAGGACCAGGGAGTGATGGGGGAGGGCCAGCAATAAAGTTCTCTGCTAGGCTGGCAGGGCAGTGGGCTACCCACAAGGAACTGACAACAGGACTGCCCAGCATGTGGTAGTGTGGCTGTCCAGTGGGTCTGGAAGGCCTGATGCATAGCGTGCACGTGCTGGCCGAGGGAGCCCCAGTGTGCAATGCACAGAGCTGCTCACAGAGCCCTGGTGTGGTGCGCGCAGCAGCTAAGGAAGGCCTGGTGCACAGGGCTGCCCAGTGCCCTAGCGCCGGGCTGCCTGGCAGAGCCTTGGCAGTGATGGCTGCCCAGCAGGTTGGCAGAGCTGTGGGACCAGCAGTAGGTGGGGAGCTGGCTGGGAGGCCAGTGGCAGGCCAGGGGGGGGTAATGGCAGGGGTCCAAAAATGACCTCCCTCATTCTGGCAAAATCCCTTATCCGGGACCAGTCAGGTCCCCAGGGGGGGGTAATGGCAGGGGTCCAAAAATGACCTCCCTCATTCTGGCAAAATCCCTTATCCGGGACCAGTCAGGTCCTGAGGATACTGGACCAGGAAGTTCCAACCTGTACTTGAAAGCTGCTATCATGCCCCCTCTCAGTCTTCTTTTTTCCAAATTAAACAAACACAATTCTTTCAGTCTTCCCTCATAGCTCATGTTCTCTAGACCTTTAATCATTTTTGTTCCTCTTCTCTGGACCCTCTCCAATTTCTCCATATCTTTCCTGAAATGTGGTGCCCAAAACTGGATACAATACTCTAGTTGAGGCCTAATCAGTGAAGAGTGGAGAGGAAGAATGATTTCTCATGTCTTGCTCACAACACTCCTGTTAATGCATCTCAGAATGATGTTTGCTTATTTTGCAGCCATATCTCACTGTTGACATATTTAGTTTTTGGTCCACTATGACCACTAGACCCCTTTCTGCAATACTCCTTCCTAGACAGTCACTTCCCATTTTGTATGTGTGAAATTGATTGTTCCTCCTTAAGTTGAGTACTTTGCATTTGTCCTTATTGATCTTCATCCTGTTTACCTCAGACTATTTCTTCAGTTTGTCCAAATGAGACCACTCTAGCTATAATGATTTGAATGTTATATAATAATTGAATTCAAAGGAAACAACAGCAGGCACAAGCCAACAAGTTTGTTCTGGTTTGTTTTGTTTTCATTTATTTATTAAACTGTCCTCTCTATAGGTGGACTTCTTTCATCAATATAGATTCTTTGAGATGTGGCAGCAACAGATTTTGATACTTGGACTTGAAATATGTCTATTTTCAGTCAGTTTTGCATGTTTCTTTATCATTTGCCCAAAAGTTATTTTGCAACTTTCCTGAATACTTCCACAATGATTCACAACTGATATCTCTTCAACAGGAGGAAATCCACAAGGTATCTCAAAAGGCCTGTCAAAATTATCCAGTATGCACTGCTACTTGGAGTAGGCCAGGAACATTTTGGACACAGAGGGTGTGTCTACACAGCAAAGTTATTTCGTAATAACGGCCATTATTCTGAAATAACCATGCGAGCGTCTACACAGCAATTCTGTTATTTTGAAAAAATTTCAAAATAATAGACAGCTCATTCCGATTTCTGTAAACCTCATTCTACGAAGAATCATGCCTCTTCCAAAATAGCTATTTCGAAATAAGATGTGTGTAGATGCTCCACTTCCACTTTTTTGAAATACTCCCTGTCAGCCGACGGTCAGGGCAGTGTGTGTGTGTATGTTTCCGAGAAAAGGTTTAACGTCCATGCCTTTACTGCTAGGACCGGGGTCCCATCGCAGAGGGTGGCCAGCAGGCCAACAGACGCCCCGTTATATAGGAAGAGCTTATTACATCTTAGATTTCAGCTGCTAGAATTTCATAATTCCTTCGCAGCGGGCAGCCTTGAGGAAAGACTGAAAGATGCCCCAGTGGGTCCTGTCACCTGGGAGTGACACAGATCCAAACGCCCAAGCTCTTCCTATAACTGTCCCTTTAGACCGGCTGAAGTTCTTTTAA